AATAACAGTTTTCCAGTTATAGATGCTTGAACACTTACTGATTCTTCTTTTATGTCCTATAAGTAGTTTTAAAAAGGTGAAATGATATTTTTGGTAAAGATCATGGATGAAGGAGTGAGTGGTCCAAAAGTTAAATAGGTTTCTTTACACAACACAGTGAATCATTAGGGTCTGATTCATAGAAAGCTGAGGGCTACAAGGAGTTGGAATTCCCACCTTATTGTTTCAGCCTGCAATTCAGAAAACACAGACCCTTCTGTTGAGGGCTGTTAAAACACGTAGCTGTTGTCTGTCCTGTCTGATGGGGTAGCCAGTAGCCACATGTGGTGTTTACATTTAAATGAAACTTAGACAAAAAGAAAATGTTTACCTCCTCAGTTGCACTAGCTATGTTTGAAATGGTCTGTTATATGGTTTCTCAGCCTTTAGGCTAAGATTAAGTGTAAAATGGCCTGTTACTATTCAGTGCAGATACAAAACAATTCTGCACTGGAGAAAGTTAAATCAGAGAGCAATGGTGGTAGATTGTTGTCCTGTACTGTGGTAAAATAAAAGATATTTAGGGGGGATGCCCTCTCTCTGAAAATCCACTTGATAAAATGAAATGTTGAGAGTTTGTTTTTGTTTTCTCTTTTCTTTTAGTGTATTTATGTTGTAACTATATGCTAAGGACACAGGGAATTTACAGGGTGCCCTCGGAAGCCTCCGCCAGGCTTGCTGGAGGCCCCAGGGCTCCCCCTCCCTCTAGCTTCATCCAGAGCAGCCTGCTTTTGTCTGTTTTATAAATTGGAGCTTGCTGGTAGCACATCTTTTGTACAAATGGATCCTTCTCATAAATAAATGGAAACCACTTCTAGTCAATTTGTAGAGGCCTGGTTTGGGGAGAGAGATAAAAGGAGTCACAGCATTTGGGGACTTCCCTCTTATCACCCCATACCCCCAACTTCATGCATATTTACACGGATGTATGGTCAGGTGAAATACCATTATGACATTTCTGCTTCTGAGGTGTCTAGACCTGAGAAGGGTTTGCTGGACGACAGGAAGAAGAAAAATGTTGGGAGAGAAACAATAACCTCATTTTCTAGCGATAACAGTGGTGTTTTGGTTTCTTTTTTAGTTGTATGGAATTTTTTTTTTTTAAATGCTTAATTCTTTCCTTTTCTGTCCCTGGTTTGAGAATAATGCTTTGACTGTCTGTCCTCTTCGTTAAGTGACCTATGACCTACATGAACTCATAGAATCACATGGACTGTGATGTGATCTGCGTCAGTTCATGGTCGCTGTTACTCTTTTTGTCTCTCAGATATTCCTGCGTTTAGTTGATGGGCACCTCGGCAGCTCAGATCCTTTTTCTGAATATAGCCTCGTTGTTCCTGAAAGCTTCCTTGCTTCCTGCTATGACAAGATGTTCCAGACTTATCTTCTACATTTCCTACACAAAACCTACCATCAGCCATTTCTCTAAGGACTTCTTAGGAAAGAACAAAAACTCCAGTTTATTTATTTTTTTCTTACATTAACACAGTCTATAGAAACACATAACGGTAGTACAGAAAGGTGGAAAAAATAGTATAATTCCATGAGCATTCACAGTAGTTCGAATATGAACACACTTATTACAGAGAAGCATTACGCTGTTAAACTGAAGGAAAAGGGTTGGATAGGTGTCAGCTTATGTGATCACTTGAAACAGTGATTTGTTAAGGCTTATGTGCACATGTGCTCTGTTGTTCCATTTCAAATTATATTAAATGAGTTGCACGGCCCTCTGAACTGTTAATTTCTCTAACCACGCATATACATGTTAAACACAAAAGCAAATATTTAGTTAACTGGGAATCAACAAAATTATTGTTTCATGAGATCTTTGTGGTATTAAAAAGACGAATCCAGGGAGTTAAAAATTTTTTTTTGCCGTATTTTATTTTAAACTCATATAGATGGTTAAGTTTTATCTCCTTGTCTCAGTTAATGAAAGATGCAAAGAGCAAAGCATATAAAAAAGAGTTGGCCTCTGCTGAAGGCTGTTGGACAAATGCAGCATAATTGGTGATGCAAACCAATGCATGGTACTTTAATATCTCAGAACGCCTATTTCTTGCATAGCAATCCTTATTATAAGCTAATTAAAAATACTTATGTTTTATACTTGAATATTCATTTGTCCTCATTATTTTTGCTTTACATAGTTCCTTAAAAATGTGTTTGCCATTTTTGTTTCTAAATTTAAATTCCTCCTTACGGATACGCAGTCAGCATTTTCCTTTTGGTACTGTTTTTGTGTATTCAACAAGATAGGGAGTGGAGATTGGCTGGAATGAACATCTCAGATGGGGTTTATCTTCACACCTCTGCTCTCTTTTTGTCACATCTTGGCCAAGGGCATAGCCCATTTAAGTATAAATATGTATGTCAGTATCTGCATTCATTTCTAGAGTGCTAGATCTTATCATAGCTCCCAGTCTGGAAGTAACATTCGAAGGTTCATTTGGAAAAATTTGGTCTTCTTTTGCACTCCAGCCGAGGAAAAGCCAAATGGCTTCTTCCCTGAGCAAGCATTCGGAGGTTTCTATCTCTGTGATCACACGAAGTCATTATGTAGCAGTTGGCTCTGATACGCTTGCACAGACACAAATTGAGTCCGACAGGACTGATGTCTCCTGGACTTTGCTGTCATTTGAAATGCTGGCATGAGGCTGGGAGCAGTGAGAGCAGGAGAGGGGTGAGGTGTAGAGCTGAGTCCTTTCGCACTTCTCCTATGAAGTTTGGAGATATTTAACGTCTGATAGCTGTGAACTGCTTGATAGGTTGTTTTTTCAGAGGTGATTGATAACAATAGCTGATTTGGAGCAGCTGGCTAGCTTTCGGATTCAGGAGGATGTGTTTCAGTGTACCAGTTGCTTCTTCGTGCCACCCACAAATCTGTTTAAAGAATAAAAAGAGGCTGTCCAGTAGAATGGTAATTAGAATAATTCCTCCCTTTCCTTTTCGTTTTATCATTCCTGCATTCAGCCTCTCATGCATAGTAATGAAAAAGATAATATCTTTAAAAATTTTTTTGTTCTGCACTGAAGCTCAGTTTCAGAAAAGAAACCCTAGAGTAGCTGCCTGGCAATTCCTTTCAAAGTACAAGTTATTTGAGTGGATTAGGTTATTTCTGGGTATCACTAGTATTGCCTGTCAAGAATTTGGTATGTGTTTCAAATATTCCAATAAAAAAGAATAAAGGTATGCGGTTTCATTTCGCAAATGAGTTCTGATCGTCATTCCCCAGCTTTTCTTGCAGTGAGAGAGGAGGCAAAAGTCTGTGATGTACTCTCTTATTTTATTAAGAGTACCGTGTCTAAGAAAGAGGCTGTGCTAGATTTATTGAAGGTTCTATTGGAAACATTATGTATCACCTGAAGACTCATGCTTCAGATGATTGCTTCGAGCCTGCCTGATCATTGCTTTCCTCTCTTCCATTCCCACCAGGACCACCGTCACTCCTGGGTCTTAGCTTACTTCTCCCCTGCAGTTCTTTCTCAGTCCCTTAGCATCCTCTAAATCATTCAGATGTCAGGTAATTTTTCCAAGCCTAGTTCTATGTTGTTCCTCTTTCCAAAACATTAAGTAGCTTGTTTTTATGGTTTACTGAATAAAGCCCATTTGACTTAGATTGCCGTCCAAGGCACTCTGTGACCTTTTTTTTTTTTTTTTCTTTTAATTTTAAGCCTGAACCATTTTCTTTTCCCTGATCTTCTGGCTTCCTAATAGAGATGTCACTCCAAGCCAATGGCTCTCAAAAGGTAGTCTCTGTTGGGCAACCCTTCTCTTGCACAGAGCTACTGAACCATGAACCCCAAGATGGTGCCCAACTATCTGTTTTAATGAGCCTTCCAGGGGTCTGGTGCACGCTGACATGACCTTTGGGAAGGCTTGCTCCAACCAAACCAGGCAACTCGTCTTCCACAAAGTTCCTTTCCCACTGCGTTGCTTTTGCACGGGTTTCCTAGAGTACCTTTCCTTCATCTTGTGAAAATCCTACTTATATCCCAGGGCCCATTTGGAGAGATTGCTTTTTCCACGAAACCATTCTTTATCCTTCCTTTTATGACACTATTTGGTTTTCCTTCCTGGCACAAATCACTTAACTCATACTAATTATCTGGTATACCTGTCTTATTTTTTCCTCCTAATCTGGAAACTAAAGCAAACAAACAACAACAACAACAAAAAACCCAGAATCTGACTCGTCTTTGTACCTGAGACACCTTGCACTGTGTCACTCTTTGATGTCTTAGAAAGCATGCAGTAGGCTTTCTAAAAATACTTCATGGCTTCTGCATTCTACAGAGAAGATTAAGAAATTAAGTCCTTGCCCAGGAGACATATAAAAATCCTGTTAAATCAAAGTGGCACATGCTAACTATTGTTTTGACTTATTGAAGCCAAACTAGACTTGAGTGTTGATGTGTCTTCAGGGAAGAAGCCAAATATGCTAGTGTAAAAAATTCTAACCTCTACCATTTAGCTGGAGAAGTTGAATTAGTCCTGTCATTCCATCTGATGCCAAGAGAGCAGCTTCCATTATTCTGTCAGTAATAGACTTTTATCCTGCATGCAGGAACTTCTCTTAAATCTTTCTTATAGCACTGGTGTGCCTTTTTTCCATTGATGTATTCATGTAATGTTTCATACGAAGTGACAGTTCCATCTCAGAGTGCTTTGCCCAAAAGGTGGCCTAGCAGAGAGTGAAAGTCAGGGAGGTTGGCATATGGGATGGCCTGGAAAAGGGAAAGCGAGTGCTCCCACATTTCACAAACCCACATATTCTAGAGCTTCTTCATTTTGCAAACCGAGTTATTTCCTTCCTAATACAAATGCAGGGCGGTTGCAATTTATGGTGAATTTACAATGGGTCAACAGATTGTGCCTCTCGTGGTGGCTATGATGGAACAGGGGAAAGAGAGTGATAGAACTAAGTGTCTTTTCTTTGCTCTCCTCTCCCTTTGCAGGCTCTGAGAGTGTTCCCGTGGAGATTCCAGCCCGGACAGCCTCGCTGCAGCGTCAGAGGCAGTGCTTCCAAGCTGCTCGCACATGCTGCTGCCAAGCTGCAGGATGGTGCTCGTCGCCAGGCCGCTGCTGCTGCTCCTCGCTTTCCTCCTCCGCACAGATGCTGAGAGTAAGCCATTCTCCCCTCCTCTGGGGGGCTGTGACCGTAATGAGTGGTTTTGTTTGCAGTTGGCACCAGGCTCAGGCCGCTGAATACATTTCCTTTGGAAGTAAATCCTGAGACACTGTGGGATCCTCCTTGGCTCCCAGCCAGCCTTTGAGAGAGATTATTGACGTGACTTCCTTACCATTTCCTCTCCCTCTTAATGCCCCTTTTCTTGTGCCTCTAACGGCTCCTACTGTTTATTTTTATTTTTATTTTTTTATACCTCTCACCAGCCTGGTGGCAAAGATATTATGAGAACACTGATACAACCGAAACTGAGGTTAGCCAGTTGGTGGTGTCAATAAATAAACATGCCTTAGACCCATTCAAAATTTCTTTAGTTTCGTGGATATTTCTATGTTTAGAAAAATGCACAATGTCACATTGAGCCCAATTAAACTTCCAAGCCCCTTGTAGCTGTCATAGCAGCTGTTCTAAGGTACTGTTTCCGACAGCTGTCGTCGAGTACAGTATTCAAACAAATCAAGCAGAACTGACAACTTTGTGGCTGGATGAAGGATCTGGAAGTGCGAGAGTTCTGTGGAGTACAGACACCAAAAGTGTAGATTTTTGGATGCAATTTATGAAACTGCGATTGTGGTCAATTAGCTCGCCAATTAATGAGAAGATCATATCTCCTTTGTAACTGGGAAGTCATTAGGTCTACCTTTGTGTTTATTTTCCCATCTGTCTTGTGGCTTTGGGGGAGACATAGTGGTGGGGAAGATGTGTCTCTGGCTCATACTCACTGAAGTGTCTGGTTCCTTGGTGGGGGTTTAGTTCATATGTGAGTTGGCCATATTCTTGGGGCATCCCCAGGTACAGTTAAACTGCGTAACCTAGGCAGTCATTAACTTTTCCCTCCACTGACTATTTCAGTGAGATTAAATTTGATTCATGTTAAGGATGTTGGGAAGACAAGGATCCGGTGTTATCTTGGCCCCTTCCTATTAATTACATTTTGACAAGAATTCCCTCATGAGCAGCCAATTGCTTCGTTTAAATGGGGGCTCTATTTTCTTTTTTTTTTTTTTTTTTTTTTTGAGACAGAGCCTCAAGCTGTCCCCCTGGGTAGAGTGCCATGGCATTACAGCTCACAGCAACCTCCAACTCCTGGGCTCAAGCGAGTCTCCTGCCTCCGCCTCCCAAGTAGCTGGGACCACAGGCGCCCGCCACAACGCCCGGCTATTTTTTGGTTGCAGCCGTCATTGTTGTTTGGCGGGTCCGGGCTGGGGATTCGAACCCGCCACCTTAGGTGTACGTGGCTGGCGCCTTAGCCGGTTGAGGGGGCTCTATTTTCTAAAGAGATCTTTTTTAGGAGTGAAAGGAATAATGTTAATACAGTAATAAGATACATGTGGAGCATGCATGTTTTAAGTACAGCATTCTCTGGCTAATAATGTATACCGTCTCCCAATTAGCACTTGGGGGTGTCAATTAAAGGTGAAGCCAAGGAATTCCCAGTATAATGCCAGCCAATAATTAACTGGGAAAAAACCCAAATGTAAGATGCTCTTGTTATTTTAAAGCCATTTATGTCAAAGCTTATTTTAAAGTACTGTGGAAATCTAAATTTAGTGTATTGAAGAGAAATTGAGCATATCGTTTTATTATTTCTGCTTTGGCTAGAATGCAAAAGTAAGTTGTTTCACCATAGTTAATTTTTTCACAAAGCATATTAAGACCCGGAGAACCCACTTTCATGTCAGTTGCAGCTAGAGATTTTCTTACAGTTAGTAGATAGAGGGCAGGGGGAGAAGTTACATGGATATACAAGTATACAAGTTAGTGTCTATCCATAAAGGTAACCTTCCAGGTAAGTTCTGCTGAGCAGACACATAGATACTTAACTCTCTGGTGGAAAGTGGCAGACAGATGTCAAGGACTTTTAAAATTATCTGGTGTGAAACAGTCTATGCTTCAGATGACTGTCACCTACTCTCCATCTACTCTCATCTGCAGGAAGACCGTCAGGTGGTGGTCTGACTGGGGTCAGTTCTCTTTCTCCACTTCTGTTCTTTCTCCTTCATCACACTTCTTATTCTGGCTGTATAATCTCACCAAAGAAATCACAAGGGCCTATGTTAGCAGTTTGTTAAAGTAAGATACTTACCATGATGTGTACTTCGGTGATATCAGTTTTCAAACCCAAATGTCCTTTGAAAAAGAATCCTTTTCCTTTCACCCTTTCCATTGCCCCTTAAGAAGAAACAGCTTCTATTTTGCCAAATCAACTTTGATTAGCTTTGTCCTTGTCTGCTCAGGCTTGATGTAGTTTATTTTCCCTTGCATAGATTCATTTGACACCAGTGAATAGTACATACTGAAAGTTCCCAGCAAAAGAGAAAAATGTAGTCACATTTTTAAAGGGCCATTTTCAAAGAAGAAGGGGCGTTCCTTAGTAATCTACTGGAGGGTGTTTGTGGTTCATGAAAGCACACGTGGAGTTGGAGGTACAAACTTAGTCACTAAAAATGTTTAAAGAACAGGTGGTAAAATAGGATCCAGAGTTATCCTTCATCCAGTTGTGTTAGTACCTCTCCTTCAAATGCTGAAAAGAAAAAAATAAAGATATAGAGAGAACCAAGGAAAAGTCTGAATTCTTCACCATCATATAAAGATAATATTTTTAGGCTTCTGTTACTTGGGTCTCTGGTTTGTGTCCCTCTGCCTTCATTAGCGTATCTAACCTTATTTGTTTTTCCCTTTTCCCTACCTGGGTTTTGTATTGGTCCAAGAGATTAAGAGTCATGTTTCAAAATTAGTAGTAGTTTATCAGAGCCACATGAGAAATCTAAAGTAATATTAAACAATCATTTGGCCTCCTTTGAAGCAGTAGACTGTGGGGATGGGGAAGGGAACGAAGCTACTCTAGTTTACTATTATTAATGTGTCCACCTCTCACTCTTTTGAAATGATTAACTCCAAAGGCCCTGAAGTCAGTGTGATCAGCTGCCGTGTGGAATATCATAGCAAACTACTAGGTGTGACATTGCATTAAGTAGGAGAGCTCTCATGAGCCTTGTTCTCAAGGATGTTGAAAAATCATAATACTATCCCTTTAGGAGAAAATTATAGTCTTTGCCATTGCCAATTTAAAATGCCTTGCATATCCCCACTGTTATTTTGATAGGCTGGTTGTGTGTGTGTATCTTATTTCTTTTCATTCCTGTGTCTTAAATGCTGCAGATGAATTTCCTTATTGGTTCTTGAATGCACGTGTATAAAATAGAGAGGGCTTGTGATCTCAGGGAAGAGGAGAGTGGGACGTCTGTTGAGCACCACAGGTAGCTCTACCTCATGCTGGGCAAACCAGCTGGTTTGGGTGGTGTTCTGACTAGGGTCAACCCTGGTTTAGGTGGTTATCTGTCTAGGTGCATTCTGGATAGGTAGTAGTCAATTATGATTAGGAGGTGGTCTGACTGGGGTCAGTTCTGATTTAGGCGGTTGTCTGATTAGGACCATTCTGGATAGGTAGTAGTCAATTATGGTTAGGAGGTGGTCTGACGGGGGTCAGTTCTGGTTAGGTGGTGGTCTGACTGAGGTCAATCCTGGTTTAGGCAGTTGTCTGACTAGATCCATTCTGGATAGGTAGTAATCTGACTAAGGTCAATGTATTGGTTAGGTTGTGGTCTGATAGGTCAGTTCTGGTTAGGGGGTGGTCTGATTAGGGTCAACTTTGGTTTAGGTGGTAGTCTGACTAAGGTTAGTTCTGGTTATATTACTGGATAAAGCGGGTCTGGCTGCCTGTCACTGTCAGCCAATATGCAGAGACAGGGATAAGTCCCCCAAACTTTGTTTTTCTGAGTGCCAGGATTCTAGAGAACAGTGAGACTAGCCTCTCCAAGACTGTTGTGTTCTTCCATTTCCAAAATTACAGTTTTATACATTAAAATTCAAAGGAAAGACCACACAAACCTCTATTATAAATAATATTCTGTATACCTCAGTGATCTATTACAACATTCCAATTCAAAAATTAATCTCCTGGGCAGTGCCTGTGGCTCAGTGGGTAGGGAGCCAGCCCCATATACTGAGGGTGGTGGCTTCAAGCCCAGCCCTGGCCAAACTGCAACAGAAAATAGCCAGGCTTTGTGGCAGGCACCTGCAGCAGTCCCAACAACTTGGGAGGCTGAGGCAAGAGAATCGTGTAGGCCCAGGAGTTGGAGATTGCTATGAGCTGTGATGCCATGGCACTCTATTCACTCTATTGAGGGTGATAAAGTGAAACTCTGTCTCTAAAAAAAAAAGGTTAATCTCCTAAATCAATCTACCTAAATTACTCAAAATAGTCATCTTTAGGGTCAGAGCTAAATTTATAAAACAGTAAGAATGGGAGTCGGGGGGTGAGGGTCCACAGGACCTAAACTGACCAGATCAGCTGTGTGATATCTGCCCTAGCTTGACTCCATTTTATTCTCATGACATGTGTTTTCAATTAGGTAGTGGTCTGACTGGGGTAGGTTTGGTTAGGTGTTGGTCTGACTAAGGTTAATAGTGCTTTAGGTGGTGGTCTGACTGAGGTCCACCCTGCTTGAGGTGGTGGTCTGACTGAGGTCCATCCTGCTTTACGTTATAGTCTGACTGGGGTCTATCCTGGTTGGGGTGGTGGTCTGACTAAGGCAAGTTCTGGTTTAGGTGGTGGTCTGACTGAAATCCATCCTGGTTTAGGTGGTGGTCTGACTGGGCTCTATCCTGGTTGAGGTGATGGTCTGACTGAGGTCCATCCTGGTTTAGGTGGTGGTCTTACTGAGATTAGTTCTGGTTTAGTTTGTGGTCTGACTAAGGTCAATGCTGCTTTAGGTGATGGTCTGACTGAGGTGAGTTATGATTAATTGATGGTCAAACTAAGGTGAATTCAGCAGCAACATGCTTACAAATTAAAGATGAATTTAGATTATGTTAGTATAATCCTGGGGTGAATGTTTTTGTTTGAGTTTTCTTTATAGCTTCTGGTACTAGTT